ACTAAGGAAGAGGAAGCCGAAAAAATCTGTCACCTTAGATGTCTTCATCAGAAGAACGCACAACGCAACTTCGCGAACTCAAGTATACAGGAAAAGCATACACTAAAAGGCCAAACATTCTACAGTCTATAAACATGTGTAAGTATACCATTCTCAAGATCCACAGAATACTGAGCTATGGAAAGCTGGAGAAAGATACAAGTATAGGTTTATCGAAACCCGTGATTAAAAACACAACTTTAGTAAACAGTGTTTATCGAAACAGATGGTGCAATCACCTCAATGAGTGTTCTACTCTAGCCTACATCAAGGATGTCTCACAACTATCAGACGAGTGCTTTGCTGGCTCGGGATTAGAGCTGCACATAAACCAACACAATCGCTACAGAATATGTTGTGTAAACCAAAGGACCCACTGCCAAAGGAAGACAAAACAAGTATAATCTAGACAATTAACTGCAAAGACTGTTCACAACACTACATGGTCGCAAGCAGTGGTGGGTGGGAAAAGTCAGAAAGATACAGAAGGCATCAGCATAAGTTATGAGAAACGAGAAGAGTCTTTCGGTGACAACTATGGGGGAATCATTTTGACTAACATCATCCCCAAATCCTTGGGTCCTTAGTTATCCCAAACCTGATGGGAGCTCGAGAAAAGCAAAATCGAGAAGATAAGGTAGGTTTCAGACCTGGACGAGAATGCATCGATCAAATCTTCATCTGCCGTCAGGCTATGGAACACAAGCAAACATAGTAGTGGCCACCAACCACCATATTTCCCGACCTAAAGGTGGCGTTTGACCGAGAGGTGCTACGGTAGTGCTTGACTGTGAAGGAAGTACGGAGAAAGAATGCGACGACAATCAAAGCTCTCTACTCAAACTCACGCAGTGGTACAAAGGCATATTAAGGGCTGTCATTTAAGTTGATGACAACTAGTGTTTTCCCCCAGGGATACCCACTATCATTGTTCCTATTTAACTTCGTTACAGACGTACTAATGGACATAACCACAGGTACTTCTGACTTCACAGGATCGATCTACTCCCCGAATGTCGTCTAGTTGACTTGGAGAAGGCAGATGATATTTTGCTAAGTGAAAACGCTGATAAAATGCAAGGGTCTTCTGAACACTTTGAGCAGAAACCTAAGTATGTTTGGCATTTGTTTCGCACATGTCAGATGTCGCATCTGCACGAACACCCTGGTTGATAATGAAATATCAGCTCGCATACATAGGGCCCATTTGATCTTTGCCAATTTTCATCATGCCTGGCACCAACTGGCGAAATATGAGAATACCTGTTAAGGGACTAGTATAATGCACTGCCGTTCGCTCCGTCCTCCAAAACAGCTGGACACATGGTCGTTGAAAGCTGAAGATATTAGGAGATGACAAGTTTTCGAACACAGGTGTTTTCGTAGCATTGTTTATGTATGATGGAATCGCCTTGTTATCAATATCGAGGTTAGGTAAAGGGTGTTAAGCAAGGAAGGAAGTTCAATCAGCCAGGTGTTGAACCTTCAACGAGTGAGGTGGGTTGGACATGTGTTGCGCATGCTGAGGGCTACTGCTTACCTCGACGTACATAACCAGCAGAAGTCAGACTAGGTTGCAAAATGGCTTACCATAACCAGACCAGGACATTGCGCTAGTCGATGAAGCCTCTAACTGTTAGTCTGAACCGTATAGGGAGGTGTAAACAACCTGGTAGGGGACCCCAAGACGACAAAAATAAGAGGCTGTGGATTCTTGGTGATGGCTGAAAATTGGTCACAATGGTACAGGTGTATTCACTCATTGAAGTCCTTGAAAACGTGAATGTGTTAACTAACTTTCATTTCTTCACCTCCTATACACATTTTTTTAAATTTGACATCAATCTTTTTCGATTCACTTGCTCTTTGTATAAGCTTGTGAAGTGTGGCAACTTAAATCGATGCACTTGTGCACCAGATTCTACGTTGATTTTGTCCGTCTGCTTTACAGACCGCAAGTAGGCAGTTTAAATTTCCTAGCACGGTTTAGGGCAACAGTCGCAAAATTAAAGAACTAGTGATATTTTGGTCTGATGAAATAAACTGTTTTTCAAACTAATCTAAGTCAAGCTAACAAAACCTGAAATTCAGTGTGAAAGTATTTACACGAACAGTTCAATATTCACAATCATCCCATCTGATCCTGAATGGCAATACTGAAACAATAAAAAAAGTTACTTCTTCCTTAAAAATGTGCTAAATGTGAAGAATAGGATAAAGTGAGTAAAATAATAAGACTAGCGATTAACATTCCAACATCTAAATCAATAAAATATTTAGCTACTACTCACCAAGGCAAGTGCGGATGAATCTCCAGCACTTAATCTTGGACTCGATTCGCAGGTAGGTTGAACAGGGACCAATGCCAAATTAAAATCAGTTTCACTGGTAACTGATGTAAGGCAAAGTACGGAATTATTAGAGATATTATTTGACAAGTAACGTTCTTTGTCCGGAGGAACCAAATTTTGAGGAAGCTTGTCCGGTAGCTTTTCACCCTCAGTGATCGATGAACCAGATGCATGGCCTATGAGTTAAAGTTCATTAATCTTAGGAATATAAAAACTATATTGTGTTGAAAACCAGTTATCTAGAAGTCTTTTTAAAATTAGGACAAATGAAAATCCAAAGACAGACGAATCTATGCTAACAAACAAATAAGATGAACAGGCGTTTATATGTATATATATATATATATATATATATATATATATATATATATATATATATATATATATATATATATGATTCGACAAACAGGTCTGATCAACAATTAGTGTTCTAGTTGCAAGAAAAGGCACGTTTCGTGGAATTTGCAATTTTTCATATTATGCGCCCAGGAGTTAACTTTATGTAAATGCGATAGGCGGGAAAAAGTTCTGAAACACCAAGCTTACAATGTTACAGGCTTTCGAAATGAACAGCTAAATTGAAGTTTAAATGATACGAAAATATATTACATCAAAATATTCTTATAACCCCAGCCGGCGACTAGGCATACGTAGTACGTGTCCCAACCATCTCAATCGATGAAGGTTCATAACCTCGTCAATAGATTTACCTCTACTGCTTAAAACTCTACACCTGACTTCCACATTACTCACGTTGTGACACCATGAAATACGGCTTATACTACGAAGGCAAAGGTGGTCAAACACCTGAAGCCAGCCTTCTCATGTCTTCCACCTTCAATGGCCATGTTTCAGAGCCATACAGTAGAACAGACTTGACTGCTGTGCCGTACACATGACCCTTAGAATATAATCGGATATCAAGGAGGCACCACAGGTGGCGTGAGTTGGCAAAAGCCAGCAGAGCCTTTTGTATCCGTGCGGAGATTTAATCAGCCACTGAGCTACCAGGGCTGATCCTACTTCACACGTAAGTGAAGTGGTCAACACACTCAATCACTACACTTTCTATTGTTAGCCATGGCACCGTTGAAGACCAGTCTGGAGCAGAAATTGCAGTTCAGTGGTGAAAAACGCATACCAAACATTCTCAAATTGCCACTCAAAGTGTTCAGAACACTCTACATCTTGTCAGCGTCTTCACCTAACAGGACTATATCATCTGAGTATTCTTGGTTTTCAAGAATTCTCTCGAGATTAGGTCAACCTCTGTTTAATCAGGTGACAAGAGGGAAACCGGCCGATAGCTGCTGCCTTGACATGGTGGTCGGGTTTGCATGTCACAATGGCCTGACGAGCTATGCTAGTGGAACACTTGTTCCCTCGAGGTCCTACAGTAGCAGAAAGCTCTGTTGGATAGTGGTAAAACGAAAAGCAGTTGCCGTTGTGGTGTAAATCACTACACTATGATGGGGGTCTGAGGGCGAAGTCGTACTGCTGCTAGTTGGATGGGGTGTGACAGCAGTCAGGTGTTTCCCTTGGATGACCAGCATTGCCATGGTGATATAATACGATTAGACAATCCAAAGGAGGATAAGATGCATGTGTATGCATGTGCATACAAGTCAAATTTTCGAGGAGTATCATTGAACAGACAGAGAATCAAACCCTTGAATCTCATTTCTATAAATCTGAAGAAAAAACCTATAAGGATAGTGAACGTCACCACGTTAGAATGGAAATGTTATTTTCGGAGAATTCTTTTTCTTGGCTATGCAATTTTACTTCGGTAAATACCTAAAATTTTGACAAATAGTAAAACGGTCCAAAATATTTCAGGAATTACAGATGCGCTGAGACGTGTAAATAAACTAGTCAAATAGTGCATTCCTAATTAAATTGTAAGTTGCATAGATGCTTCGCCTGATTTTATTTGTCGTATTTAATACAGATTTCCAACTGAAAACTAAATATCTGATGGAATGACCTTTAGAACTACGAATAATCATCTTAGCTTTCAAGGGAAATATTCATTGCATAATAATAAAGAAAACTAGTGATGGTTGGTTTTCAATGGAGCAGTTTCTGCGAAGCTGAAAACACTTGAACCTCGTTATTACCCTTTAGATGATGAACAAGAAGTAAATAATTTAGTGAAAGCCAGCATATTTTAAAAAGAAATATAGTATGAATTAAAGAATGTGGTGGGAAATTCTGAGCTTCAGATTCGTGCATTTTTTGGTCTTTATCAACAAGGTGTATATACAACTATGAAATAAATAATGTTCCAGAAAGATTTGAACATGCATTACTCGGTACAAATCAGAAACTATGATAATAAACGTAAACCCAATGCTTCCGAACGATTATCGCTAGCTAATCCAAACCAAACACAGTGCATTGCGCTTAATTACCTAGCTTGGGAACCAAATCAAAAACGTGGTAGGAAAAATCCAGTCATTGTTTACAACTTGACGCACTTACCATAAAATTAAATCTTCAGATAAGAAAGTAAAAAGTAATGAGTCGAAACAAATAACTAAGTTGGTGACAAAAAAACAGGACTGACTACCCAAATGTGAAAAATCCTGATAACTAAACCTTTAAAGGCATGTAGGAGATTCGAACGCTTTCCCGTAAGTGTCAACAGACAACTCGTTACACACATTTCAGTGACAGAATAAGGCTAACCGGTATAGTCAGAGCTAGATACACATCCAGATCAGTGTTTTTATGATAAAAAAACTAATATGCATCAATTAAAACTTACGACAATAAACTCGCTTTGGTCTAAGCTACCATCATTATCAATATCTGCAAGGTCCCATATTTTTCCGAGAGTTTCTATCGGCAACCGAGATTTCAAGAACACCTAGAAAAACCAGGGGAAATTGGTAGTAGAATAGATTTATTCCAATCCAAAACTCATACCACTGAGAGTGTATTGGAGCAGATTATATTAATGCATGCCGTGATTAGTTTCAGTTAGAAGGCACACATATTGAAACAGCAACTAATTTTACCCACAATTCATGCTTATTGTTTTCACTGGTACAACTGTTGGCAGGTTGGAAAAAGTACAAAAATGTTTCAGCTTAGTAAGTTGTATGTCAGAAATAAAATTGGAATAAACATATATGTAGATATGGTTGGTTCAAAAGCATACTATAATAATGTCAAAAAACGCCAATAGTAGAGGTTGGATTTTCTAAATACAACTATAATTTTTTTAGACAATTCAAACATGTGACCTAAATGGTTCAGAATTGAAGGCTTAAATCACAAGCAGATCGCTAAAACTAGTTTTGGAAATAGTCTTTATTGCAAGGTGTTATGAGAAGAGAGTCTTCTTCGTATACAGATTAGAGTAGATGAATCCCAGCTAAGTATAAAAGCATGCATATATTATGTCTTAATTTTTGTTGCTAACAGCGAAGACCGTTTTCTCGATTCCATAGTGTGAACAACAGGTAGTACACAATTTATGAATAAACACTAACAATGAAGATTATTAAAGCGCTCATTTGATCTCCCTGAACAGATAAAAATTTACGTGTAAAGAACTGTTTACTAAATTATCCCATTTGTTCTTTCGAAGTCATTTTTATTGATGCACTACGCTTTTTTGTTATCACTTTCAAATTTATTTTTGTTTGTCTCTTTACTTGACTCAGCTGTTTGTTAATGACTAAAATCCTAGGCTGCCTGAACTTAAACATATCATATTGCCATCGGCTACCCATGATGTGAGTGTATTTAGGACTATTCAGGTTGTGGTGTTTACCCTCCACCAGATGTTCGGACACCGTCACATGTATTGCGAGTCAACGATCACTGTCTTCTTCGTCGGGAGAGGATATCTTCTGGAATTGTCTGTTAGAAAGAGGTGTCCCTAAGAAGTCCTGAAACATCTTGAGAGCAGTATAGTTCAACACTTCAGGTACAACAAAGGTATACAATCACCTATCTATTCCAAACCAATAGTGATGTCAGGCATGGCTACACCATTTCACCACTCTTTTTTAACTTCGCCGTCGGTGACAACTCAGAGACCCCGATGAAGGGAGTGTGTAATGATAGTGTATACCTGTTACAACGCGAGAGACCGATCTTCATAATGCTGAAGATGTCATTTTATTGTGCAACAACTTAGAGGCTATTCATATTACACTCAATCAATTAGTGATTAGTGTTCATAACAATTATGGTGAGCGCTTAATATCATCGAAGTACAACGTGATCCTGCAAGAGTGGCAGAAGCATGAACCTGCACTCATCGGTGGTGGTGAACCGTTGAAACTTATCAAACGTTTGTGTTAGGGATGCATAAATCTCTTATATTACATGTCAACCACTTGTATTTTTTGGATTTTTTTAGTTCATATTCTTTTTCCCACATGTGAGTTACATTTCATATAACCCGCTCGTGTTCTGATCGGCTCCTGACTATTCTTTGATATAGGTGTAAAACTTGGGCACTGTAGTAGTATTTAATTCCACATTAGATTTGTTTATTTGATTTATAACACACAGTGATACAGTAATATTTACTTGATGACGTTTCGAGCATAAATTATTGCTCATAATCATATCAATGTGACTATTCTAATGTACTGGCTATCCCCTGTTTTCCAAGATAACTGTAATTACTATATAGTGTCAGTTTTTAACAACAGAGGTCATCAGTTCGAAATACTATAAACTAAATTGAATTCCAATCTTCTGATTTCACTCCGTGAATAACTCGGGTTGAATCATCTTAATTCTCAGACTCCTAATTGTTAATTATTCTAGTTTTGGTCTTGCAAATTAGCTTCGCAATAGTTTTTGTACCAAAAAAGTACTGAAAGACTGTGCAGTCAGTCTAAAGCAGCTGTTGCTTGAGTTTTATAGTCACAGACCCAAATCGATAAAACCGTCTTTATTAATCCACATTCACTTCCAGGTATCTCAAGAAGTAATTTTCCCTAATGCAAAGTCAAAGGGGGTAAACCAAGTAGGAAAGCGACAACTATGCTTCGATAATCACCTACTTCCAAGTAGTGTGAATTTCAAATATGAAGAGATGCACTGTTTTACATTACAACCAAAGACCTTAATTCAAAAATGGACAAAAATAAACCATATTGCTACTAGTTATAATTACAGAAGATCGGCAACGAATTTGCACTATATCTAAAGCGCTTGTTTTAGCAGCGATCACACTGGTCCCAGCACGCGTATGTTTTAGCTTAAATGGGCGAAGGAAATCAACAACTAGAAGACCATCACGCGTTAAGTTCGAAGATGAGGATGCTGAATCTACTTTTTTCAAAAGGTCGGAGAATTAAACAGACAAGGTCACTACATAAATAACCCCAGCAACATTACTAGTTTGCTCTGCATACAGTGGATAAGACCATAGCATTTTCAGATATAGATGAAGAAAATCCAGTAAACTACAGCAGATTTATCCTGATCAACAGATGCAGCGAAACACATTCCTGGTTCGTAGGACTATGAGGAACGGAAGAGGCTCAAACGCATACTGACAAAGGGTTTATGCAATTACCCTGAGCTAAAAAGGTTGCAAAAGTCAGGATGGCAACGGCGATATATATTTACTAGAATTTATTATGGAAGCCGATATCGATAAGTTTGCAGTTAGTAGGGAAGATAGATCCAAAATTCACTTACGAATGAAACGACGCGAACAACGGACAAAACATTGAGTAACAGTTCAAATGATCTCCATCTAATCACTGTGGTCGTCGACCGATCAATTGAAGTCTGAATTGAAAGTCAAAATAGGGCCTTCAACCTCTACCGAATTTGAAGACACCGTAAGTAAGCTGTAACGAAGGTCTGTAACGGGTTCAGTGACTAACAGTAATATATGCCCAGAATCAACTAAAATAGTTCATCATTTTAGTGTTTGTATTTCCCAATCAATGTAACACAAAATAAATTTGTTTTAACTGATCTTTCGCTGCTTAGTGCAAATAGCTTTATCAAAGTTATAATAAACCGGAATTTACAATATCCAAGCTATTATATGATAACTTGACAAGCGTTCTTCTGCATGAATGGTTCAGCGTCGTCAGAAGTGTAGAATACAGATGATATCCATATGCAATGTGTGTGTGTGTGTATGTATGAATTACAGATTGAGATTTCTATGTACACATGTGTTGATAGTTCTTATCGCAAGTGTGATGGTTATGTCAGTATGTGGAGGTGGGTTGAGACCAGGTCAAGCTACGTCTGCTTTACTATAACCTTGATAAAGTTATTAGCACTAAATACCGTAACGTCAGCAGAAATGAATTTATTTCGTTTTACATTCACTGGGAAATACAAATATCAAAATAATGAATATCATTTACCCGATGCCCAAATTTTTTCAAACCATCAAATCCCAACTTGGTTTGGATACCTATTAAGTGAAGTAGTTTTATGCTGGAATAACGTAAGAGGCGATTAGACTAAAACATGGCGTCATTGCATGAAGTCTCTGACTGTCCACCTGAATCGTGTAAGGGGATACAGACTTTCTCTTTGGGGTCCGCGTGAAAACAAAATCCAGTGACTGGAGACTCTAGGTGTCGTGGCACAAATCGATCACGGAGCTGCAGATGTATCCACACATTATCCTCATCTTAATTGTCATACTGAACTCAGTATTTCCTCATCTCTCGGTCTCTTTTGCTGCTTCCTAATGCTTTCGACCGATTCTTCTCTATTTCCGTATCTTTCATATGGTGGCTTAGTTGCTGGATGTAGTGATATTAGGTACAACAACTTGGTCCGTTATACAGTGATGTCTGATCTCATGTTGATGATGAGACATCGTGGGGGGTTACTAGAGAATGTTTAGGATACGGTCTTTAAGCTTTCGATGTAAAATTCTGCTTCAGGGCTGGTTTACTTTTATACGCGGTTGAATAATGAGTAGTGAGTATTTGAGTGCGCTAGCTACTTAACTTATCTGTGAAATCACATCAGGCATGGTGGATCTGTGACCGACAAAAACTCTTTATTAATCCAAAAGAATCAATTGTCTCTCGATAATTTTCACCATCTATGATGCAGGTAACATATCTTAGAGTATGCGAAGGGTAGAGTGTACCATACAACAGTGTCCTCCATCGTGTTCTACGGTTCGGAAATATTGACGATGACATAGACCTCCCAGTATTTGACTGCGGTTGTCTTCGCAGCATCTTCCGCAGATTATGAAACCTGAATATGAACTTAAATGTTAGAAGTATAGCTCAGAGCAAAAGAAGTAAGTAACTCGATGGAGCTGTGAACTTTCACCAATTCAAGTGTCTGAACATGTGCTACACGGCGATGTAGCTTATTGGCTCAAGTATTCAAGTAATCAATCCTGCTTTGAAACCCTTTCTACCTATTTCTGTCAAAATAATTGGATAGTAACATAAGCCCCCACACAATGCGTGGCTCATAGCTTGGCTCATAAACCTGAAATGGTTGATTTGCATAACAAACATAAGAGTTTGATGATAATGCGAAGTTTGTCTAAGTCATAATACTTCAGATTAGCTACACTAAACAAAGATATAACAAACACACTGAATACCTGGGAACATTTAAAACATTACTCCCAGTCAAACTTTTCTAAATACCGTCGCACAAGAAGTGGCTATCGTGGCTCGGCGGTGTAGCGGATAACGCCCTGGCATTTGAAGCGATTGCGCCCAAGTCCAAATCCCGGTGGAAACAAAATCACTCACTGGGAAGCAGGTACACCCAGCTGTCGGGTCCCAAATAGGACGAAATACGCATCCTGGAGTTCACTCCTAGCCATTATCCATTATTTTCTGAATACCTGTTTATGGTTAGGAATTTGCTGAATAAAGTGGGTTAAATAGCTGCCACTGATAAACCACCGAGGAAAATACCACTTAAAGTAACAGAAATTAAAAACCACTTTCAAAAAGACAGACAGATAAAATCAACGTAGAACCTCGCACACAAACTCACTTAAGTTGCCACACTTCACGGCAGTATACAAAGAACACATGGATAGAAAAAGACTGATACCAAAGTAGATGAAGTTGTGTGAGAGAACAAACAACTTTAAGATAACGGTTAGTGTGAATAATCAAGCTTTAGATGTCAAAGAGTGGATAAATCTGCACAACTGTGATAGATTTTCAACTATGTCACAAAGAATCTTCAGTCACCGATTCCTATCGTCTCACTGACCCAGGCAGGTGGTCTACATCTCCCGAAACGACTCAGATCAGCAGTCATAGACATCGTTGACTGGGGTTCGGCATGCGTGATACATGGTCCAATCCATCTCGATCGACTAAGGTTCACAACTTCATCGATCAACTTGTCTATTTTTCCTAGTACGCTTCACCTAACCTCTACATTGTCACACATTGATTCCATCAAACGCGAACAATACTACGAAGACAACTGTGATTAAACCCTGAAACCGCTTCATGTCTCCTACTTTTAACGTCTATGCTTCACAACTGTACAACAGGACAGAACAGATTGCAGAGCGGTATACTTGTTTTTCAATTGGTAGACGGATATCTCGCCAGTCATCACTAGAGATGAACCTAATTGGCAGGTGTCAAACGGACCTTCTGTATCCGAGCTGAGATTTCGTACGCAGCCACACCGATCGGGATAACGCAACTCCTCAAATAAGTGAATTGGTAGACGCATGCCACAACTTTACTCCCTATCATTAAACCATGAGTCGCTGCAGACCAGTTCTGGAGCTTCATCTTAAATTTGACAGATGCCAGCGAGGCACATGTCAAAAATACTCAGATTTTTGCTCAACGTGTTCAGAAAACCCTACACTGAGTCAGCGTCTTCCTTCACCTAGCTGGACAATATCATTTGCATACTCGAAGTCAGGGAGGGAAGTAGATCAATCTTTGTGAAGTCAGAAGTACCTAAGATTATATCCACTGGTACGTCTATAACGAAGTTAAAAAGGAACAGTGACAGTGGGTATCCCTGGAGGACACCACTAGCTGTCATCAATTCTGATGACAACTCTCCATAAGCCCTGACACGGCTGCATGAGTTCGAATAGAGACCCTCGATAAACATTTTATACTTGTTCGATACTTCCTTCACAGTCAGATTGTAACAGCACCTCATAGTGGATGCCACCTGTAAGTTAAGAAATATGGCAAGTGTCAGCAGCTGGTAGGTGTGCCCGCGTTCTAGAACAAGTAGAAGGGTGAAAATCAGGTCGGTACACACTCGTCCGGGTGTGAAACCTGCCTGGTTTTCTCGAGTTTGCTGTTCTCAAGCCTCAGTTAGGTGTTGGACAACTGTGGGTACCAGGATCTTGGACACAACATTAATGACACTAACTCCTCTACGGTTGACAAGGGAAGGCTTCTCCCTTCTTGTAAACTGGGATAATCAGAGAAGTAGACCAGCCTGATAGCACTACCTTTGATTCCCATACTTTACCTAGTACTTCCGTGACTCCAATCAGCTATTCCCTACTTTCATACTTGAAAACGTTAGGTGGAAAACTGTCAGATGCCGTTGATTCGTATCGTTTGAGGCTCGATAAAGCCTTCTCAACATGAAGGAGAGTTGAAGGACCAACATCTGCATCCCATTGTAGCCAGTAGAAAAAGCAGCTGCTTTGGTAACAGAACATTAGCCAACTAACCACCAGTTTTCATTCCACTACATCAAACCTGTAGGCACGTCACATCACTTCTTTACAGCCTTAAAATCATTTCAAATGAGTGAATTAGCATTCGCAATCTAAGATCTTTAGGTTAGGACCTCTACAGATAAAAAAAAAGAACGCCTTACATAAGGGATGCAAACGAGTCATTCAAATAGCACAATACCTTCAAAACTCGTATATCAAGTTGTCGGATAATAAAACCCAACTACTAAGCATGAATCTTGCAAACTAAAAGTGGAATATGATCACTACAGACACTTTATGGAAAACACACAGAAAGTCCCAACTGATAAAAAGTAATCCACAAACCTCCCTAATCTTTATGCCAGGTAGCTTTCCATAAGTAGGTTGCAGCTGATCGAAAATTGCTCTGTACTTATAGGCATCAGGGACTGAAATATTGTAGGCCATTCCTGAAACTCGGTCTCACCTAAACCTAAGAGAAAAAATATGCAAAAATGAATGATTAGTAAAAATAACGTCCAAAAGAAAAACAGAATTTCTTCCACTTCTACAAATAACGAATATAAAGTGATACTAGTATCAGATTATAAACATCCAGGCCATGGTTATTAAAAATATCTTGAGAGAAGTTGAGCGCCAAGTCAGATTTCATCATCACACAAGTAAGTTTGAATATAATCCCGGCATGTTTAGATTTCCATTTTGACTTTCTAAAGACGCTGAAATTATATTAAAACTTACTTATATAGTGACATTACTACCAATTGTAATATTTGCTTGGCAAGAACGAGGAAAATGATAAAATAAAATAAATTAATATAAAAAAAATAATAAATTACTGAAAGCATGCATGGAGTGTAAAAAGAGACAAATAAAATAGCTTAATAAAGAAGGATGAAAATAACCTTAAAAATTACGTTTACGATTCTTTTAAAAACCTTTTATCATTAGCTAACGTCACCAGTCTAGTAAGTGAACATGATTAAGCAATGAAGCCCATTTACCTTCTAGGTTCTGAACCCGAAGTGGGATGAAGTTAACAGTAATGACGAAAGATATCGAGAAAAGTATGACCTCACATTATCCAAGTGCAGCACAAGTCGACAGAGCTACACATGATTAACGTCTTCGACACAAAACATGTGAAACTTCCATGATTAAAACTGCGTGGATCTTAAGAGTAGATTCAGAGTAATAAATCAAAGGAGTAAAACTTTTGTAGAGGTAGTCTGTTTGTTAGACTTATCAAACAGTGAGGCAGTACCACTAAGCGGATAATGTTTCAGATGCAACTTATTGAGACATAATGATTGCCACAGAATATTTGAGTTTGTGATCTCAGCAAGGAATTGTTTAGACATTATGACTAATTGACCAAATACAATCCTTAAACTTACAAATTTTGTTTCTAAGTGAGTAAATGAATTTAAATACTGTTAACAACCTTACGCAACGTATCTGAAGTGGATCCCTTGTATGGTAACATAGTAGTTTTCTATTTTTCATTTCCAAGTTGCTAATATTATCATCACCGACATCCATAGTTCCTTTACTAACACAATTTTCCCGACAACTACTCCCAAATCTATTGACAGGTTACGATGGAAAACTGCTGAGGATTAAAAGTGTTTGATTTCCAGCAGCCTTCCTTCCTTCACCATCATCATCAATATCAACATTGGACTGGGCATTACTGCGTAACGGTCCGAGTTGCCACAGCTCATATCAGAACATCAACTAGAAAGGTAGTGAGGTGAAGGATGAAGACAAGAGAATGCAGTCAAAAGAAATATTAAGTACAAGAAAGAAAAGAGAAATGACAAAATGGTGAGATTCGGTATAGCGTCATTAAGATGACGATAATGTGTGTATACATCTGCGCCATTGATATCGGTTCTGAGCCATATCACCTAGAGTCTCCAGCCACTGGTTCCTCTTGTCCCATGGACCCCAACCACCTAGTCTGCATCGCCGCCCCACATGGCTCAAACTAACAGTCAAAGACTTCATTCATTGATGCCATGTCTTAGTCTGGCCACCTCGGGCCTTTCTCCAGCCTGGACCCACTTTGGTGAATATTGTGACGAGGTATACGTAATACGTGTCCCAACCATCTCAATCGATGAGGGTTCATAACCTCGTCAACTGAAATACCTCTACTGCTTAAAACTCTACACCTGACTTCCACATTACTCACGTTGTGACACCATGAAATACGGCTTATACTACGAAGGCAACGGTGGTCAAACACCTGAAGCCAGCCTTCTCATGTCTTCCACCTTCAATGTCCATGTTTCAGAGCCATGCAGTAGAACAGACCTGACTGCTGTGCAGTGCACGCGACCTTTAATAGATAATCGGATATTACGGTGGCACCATAGGTCGTGTAAATTGGCAAAAGCCAGCCGAGCCTTTTGTATCTGTGCAGAGATTTCATCGGTCACTGAGCCATCAGGGCTGATCCTACTTCACAGGTAAGTGAAGTGGTCAACACACTCAACCACTTCACTCTCTATTGTTTTGCGTGGCAGCGTTGAAAACCAATCGCCATTTAGTTGGTGAGAACCGTATCCCAAACATTCCCAAATTGCCACTCAAAGTGTTCAGAACACTCTGCGTGTTGTCAGGGTCTTAACCTAACAGGACTATGTCACCTGAATATTCTAGGTCTAATGAAAATCCTACTGCGATTAGGTCAACATCTGTGTAATCAGGTGACGGAAGGGAGACCTCCATGGGAATATCCATGATAAAACTGAATAAGAATGGAGAGTTGGCACTCACTCGATGAGCACAGCTCCCCGGAAATCTGACCATAGGTTAACACGCCCACAAGTGTTCGAGTAGAGAGCCTTCAATAAGGTGATGTACTTACTCGGCATGCCTTTCAGTGAGAGACATTGCATAAGACTTCTCGATCAATGGAGTCGAATGCCGCCTTCAGATTGAGAAATGAAGCTATTGTCGGGCGTCGGTAAGCTTGTCTGTGTTCCAGAGCCTGGCGCAGTGTGAATATTTGGTCGATACACCAGCGGCCAGGTCTTAAGCCTGCCTGCCTGTTTTTCTCAGGCTTGCTGTTCCCGATCTCCACTCAGGTGTCGAAGAATTATAGGATCTAGACTCTTAGACACTGTTCGTCAGACTGATTCCCTGTGGTTATCACAAGAGGACTTCTCGCCTTTCTTGAAGACTGGGATAATCAGTGACTTAGGCCAGTCAGAGGGGATTGTATTTGATTCCCATACACTATCTAACACTTCCGTTGACCTGACTAAGAGTATCTTAATACCATCCTTGTATACCTCTGTAGTTAGTCACTCTAGTCCTGCTGCCCTTCCTCGCTTCAGGTTACCTACAGCTTTCTCCACTTCTGCAAGTGTTGGGGGGCCTGTCTCAATGTTCCATTCAGGATCCGACTGGATAGTGGGCAACGTAATGGTGGCTGGAGATCAGTCAAATTGTTCCTCGAAGTGTTCTGCCCATCGTTCCAATCGCCTCCCCTGCGAGTGAATCGCAGATCCGTCCTTCTCTGCTATAGCCTCACTAACTGTTGTTGATGTTTTCTCCCCAGTCTCCTTAATAAGTCTAAATAACTGTCTACTGTTACCGATCGCGGCTGCCTTTTCCATCACTTTAGCTTTCGCTGCCCACCACTGTTCGTGGTCGTTGCCCAGACCTTTTCTCAATCTACTTCTAAGTTGCGCTGCTTGTACTCAGAACCTGCAGGGATGTGTTCGCGTGAATCCATTAGTTTGGAAGAAACGGCCGATATCCACTGGCTCTTTTTAGCCACTCTTTCGGAGTCGGCCAGGCTCTTCAGCGCTGCTTCCACAGCAGACTGGAGATGACACCAAGCTTCTTCTGGATGAGTGACAGTATTTTGTTCCGATAACTGCCTAGCCAATTTCTCACTGAACACGGCTTTGGTGTTTTCGTTGTCCAGCAGCACCCGTAGTGGTTTTGTGGCCAAATTTTTTCTACGTCAATTGAGACGCAGGCATATACGTGCTCGGACCAACGCATGATCGCTGTCCAAGTACGTACTCTAGAACGAGCGACAGTCTTCCACCGATCCTCTCCAGCTATGACTAGTAGCAATGTGGTCTATCTGTGTTCATCGCTGAGTTGAGCTCGGTGGACACCATGTCAGACAGTGCTTTTCTTTATGTCTGAAATTTGTGCTGGCTAAAAATAGGTGGTTATCTGAGCATAGTTGCAATAGGCGATCACCGTTATCTGTACGTTCAGCTGGGATTCCGAAAGTGCCACCTAAGTGCCTTTCTACCTCACTCAGTCTGCCCATCCGTGCGTTGAAATCATCTGCAACAACCACCACGTCCGGACGTTTGGTTGTCGAGAAGAGGCTAGACAGTTTACGGTAGAACTCGTCCTTCACTTCATCCGAACTACAGTCAGTGGGTGTGTAAGCAGAGATTACAAAGAGACAATGGCGAGTCTCCCTATTCCTTTTGGTTCTCACTGTGCCGTTCAGTCAGATAGCACCGAGGCGACTATCAACTGGGATCCAGTCTAGTAGTGAGTTTTCTGCCCTAGTGCTTAGTGCTATGCCTACATCTGCAAGACCACGAGAGCTAGCTAACGAATCTCCAGAAACTCGAAGGGTGAATTTCGCGGACTCACCGAATTGGCTGGGAGAGGTCAGGTGAATAACCGAACATGGGTCCTGTATGCGTGTCTCACAAACACAGCACATATCCATGGCCCGAGTTGCTAGAGTCTTTGCTAACGAAGCCTGTTGACCAATTTGACGGAGAGTGCAGACACTGAAGGCTCCAATATGTAATTTCGAGTGTAGTTTAAGGAGACCAAGGATTCTGTTTTGTGTACTCAGATGGTTGTCGAAGGCTGCAGAGCTAGTAGAAACTGAAGAGGATGTGGTATCGTTAGTTGACAGAGGTGAAGGAAGATTATGAGGGAATGATGGGGGAGACGGATAGTAGTCTGAGGAAACTTGAGTGCTGATAGAGTTGTGAGAGCAGTTGACACTTCCCGGCTGCCCACACCGTGGAAGACTATTTCTTCTTAAGGTACCTGCAAGAGATTTGTGTGACCGTAGAGCCCATCGGACATCTGCTTGAGGCCTGTCACACCCAACCCTTTGTGTATGGTTATTTTTGAACTTTTGTATTTTTGGGGCCGGATGGTCGAAAAGAAACGACAAACGAACCAACACCGCCGACCCGGCAGACCGTGGGGCATCGTGGGGTGTGTTATTTTTCGGGCCGACCTTTTCTAACCCCCTTCCACTGAGAGAGCAACCTCGTCCAAGGGAAACACCTGACTGCTGTCACACCCCATCCAGCTAGCAGCAGTACGACTTCGTCCTCAGACCCCCACCATAGTGTAGTAATTTACACCACAACGGTAACTGTTTTTCGTCTAATCACTATCCAGCAGAGCTTTCTGCTACTGTAGGACATCGAGGGAACAAGTGTTCCACCAGCATAGCTTATCAGGTCATCGTGACATGAAAACAAGATCAACACGTCAAAGAAGCAGCTATCATTCGAGCCTTCTTCATAGACTGACAGCAGACAATACAGACATACATGGCAATACCGCATAACGGTTAAAGCTGGAACAAAACATCTCAGCATATCAAACATTATCATCAATATCAATACAAGACCGGACATCACTGTATAACGGACCAAGTTGTTGTACCTAATATCACTACATCCAGCAACTAAGCCACCATATGAAAGATACGGAAATAGAGAAGAATCGGTCGAAAGCATTAGGAAGCAGCAAAGAGACCGAGAAATGAGGAAATACTGAGTTCAGTATGACAATTAAGATGAGGATAATGTGTGGATACATCTGCGGCTCCGTGATCGATTTGTGCCACGACACCTAGAGTCTCCAGTCACTGGATTTTGTTTTCACGCGGACCCCAAAGAGAAAGTCTGTATCCCCTTACACGATTCAGGTGGACAGTCAGAGACTTCATGCAATGACGCCATGTTTTAGTCTAATCGCCTCTTACGTTATTCCAGCATAAAACTACTTTAGTTAACATTGGGAGACGAGGTAGACGGTGATTAAGTATGCCGAACACACGTCGCAGTCACTTCAGTTGGTAAAAGTTCACAATCTCATCGACTGACTTTCCTCTGTTCGCCTCGAACCCCGTCTGAATTGTATGTTACTGACACGGTGACGTGATGACACGAAGGCAACTATAGTCAAATGCTTATTTCCTTTTCGTGTCCCTTACTTTTAATGGCCATGTTTCACAACCGTACAGAACAAAGCAAACGACTGCACAGAACTGATCCAACTTCTCAGGTAAGTGAAGTGCTCAGCACACCCAAGCACTTCACTCCCCACTGTTAGCCTGAGTGCCACTGAAGTCCACTTCTGGAACGTGTGTTTGTGACACACGCATACAGGACCCATGTTCGGTTATTCACCTGACCTCTCCCAGCCAATTCGGTGAGTCCGCGAAATTCACCCTTCGAGTTTCTGGAGATTCGTTAGCTAGCTCTCGTGGTCTTGCAGGTGTAGGCATAGCACTAAGCACTAGGGCAGAAAACTCATTTGCTTGGAGAGAAACGCATCTCAAAGATTTTCAAATTACTATTCAAGATGCCTAATAGACCCTGCATGTTTATAGCAACAGAGGTATTATCTGTGCACTTCAGATCTAATAAGGATTCACCTACGACAAGATCAGTCAGATGATGAGGGGCAGACCTCGTTGAGTAAGTTTATGATAAAATTGGAGAGGAATGGAGAGAGCAGTCACTTTCCAGCATATGTTTGCTGGCGAGTTTAATTCTAGTTTTCTGCACTCAGATATATAGAAGGAAATAAGGAGATTAGTCAAAAGTGTGTAAAATAAAGATTAAAAAATGCATGCACCTGTCATAACTTATATTTTGACAGTATCTGTCACCATTATGCGTATAGATGTCTACGATAAATACGAGCTGTACGAGTGGTTAGTACGGTAGAGTTAGGACCATAGCAAGTATCAGGATAGTATTTCTAGCGCGTCTGGAAATCTGAACGATTGGGAAAAAGACCTCCCTTGACGAAGCTTCGTTGCTACAAAAATAGCAAACACTTTAGTTTTGTTCTAAATTTTCACACGAGAAACTATGTCAGTACTTTAAAACGTGTAAAACTGCCCCACAAAAGGCTATAATTTTCCCGATACGCCTCGAAACCGCCACTTATAAATGTTATTAACTTAACAAACAACCTTCCTGTTGCATCAGTTTCCGAAGTCCAGCTGGGGGGTATATACTGATAGGCATGCGACTTCAATCCCAATCTAAAATGTCTTGGGAACACAAGCCCACCCTATGATTGGTATTGTCCATAACAATATATATGAGAAAAACGGTTTCCTTAGTATTCAGTACAAGTAATGATTGCGCAATAGACACAATTCGTCTTAAGAATCGAATCAAAGTATTGAAACTCACGAATATTACAGAATCGGACAAAATGAGAAAAAAGACTACCAGGCCTCCTATTGCTTGCTACAACCTAGTGAACCAATGAGTTGGATCTACAACGGCCATCTCCCAGTTAACAACTTCGTCGGGACAAACGGGGAAACGTTGAACCAAGTCTGGAGCGAAGCCAGATGTACTACAAACAGGGCAAAATGACAAGCCTCTGTTTTGGTCGGGCAAAGTGTAGGGCCAATGGGGATGGTTGCAGGGAGAACAACCAGAACGTAGGGACAGACGAGCAATTTGTAAAATCTCAGTGTTAAACCTAGAGCCAAATATACAAAGCATCGGGCTGAATGCAGGGCCAAAAACATAGTAAGATATATGGAAAATGTTACGAAACCTACACCTATCCCCACAGTTGGCCAAACGTTTTCTAAATTGAGCTGCCTAACATTGTCCTATTTGGCCCGACTAAAATGTTAACCGAGTCTATTGATGAATTTTCGTCCAGCCTGCAGCTATGTATGCTTTTTCAGAGGGGCGTAGAAGTGAGAGTTTCAAGGTGACCAATCGGATCTGGGAGAAGCGGAACAGAAAAACGTCAGGCGACGACTGATAAAGCACTCAAGATGCACTTGCATAGAATAGAAAGAGACAATCGACAAACAACAGCGCGCTTTACAGCGGAGAAATTAGACAGTCTAGAGACAGATACTGAAAATGGGGTAAGTTGACCTTCAAATTCGCTACAATTCGAAAGAGTAACTAACTGATTCGTAAAGGCTCTTTCCCCTTATGTCCAATATCTGTTTAACGAGCTTATGTAAACCAATCGGTTTCTTCCAGCTCATTTCTTGGTCTTGCAGAACAGTTCCAAGTCTTTGGCGGATTCCGTTGTAGTAGATCCAGTCACTCATCTTATATAGCTTTGGTATACAGAACAGGAATTTGAGTGCAGGTTAGTTTACCTGGGATTGCAGTGCAGTTGGGGTCTTCAGACGTCGAGTTGTAAGACAGTTGTTCAGACTGCTCGTTAGGAATACTTAGAGATTGTGAAAAGTTGACCTAGGAAGGCAAGTGCATGTGAGTAAAAGACGAAGAGAAATGAACTGGTGGAGTAATCTATGTTCACCCAAGTAAGACTAGAAGGGTGCAAGGATATATTGAACTTGGGTAGGTTAGGTCAATCCATGGCAAGTGAGGGAATGAAGAAGGCCCGACTGATTAGGGCAGGAAGAAAACTGGTGGGAAGGTAACTGGGTTGAAATGGTGTGAAAGCAGTTGATTTCTTCGGCCTACGTCACACACCGACTAAATCAGAGTAAACCGTGGGTCACTGCTTAACTTTCTATCCTTTTCGTGAAACTCCTAACAGGTGGGACGGGGATTATCTTTTCCGGTAATGCATTCCAGTGCGCGCAGACTCGTAGGGAACGCACACGAGTTTTTGACCTTTGGTGGTCAATTTTCATAGGGTTTCCGCAAGGATAATCATCATGGCCACTCGGTAGTATTCCTCTGTTCAGGTGACCTGTGTTACTCTGTATCCTGTAGGCCATTATCGAATTATCCCTTAACCTTCGGTAACCGAGAGATTTTAGAGCTAGGTCTTTTAGTCCATCCTCTTAACGGTTTCAAGTGGTTTTCGACTGAATAGTAGTGGCCTTCGCTCAGTTGCATCAGCGTCTAAATTCGGTGGACTACTCGTTTTGCGTCTCATAAACTGGGACTTAAGGAATAAGTGGACGCAAGAGAGCACCATACTGATAATTTTGTCCGCCGCTCATGCTAATCATAACGGGAAAGAAGGGAGAAGTGAAAAATTAAAATGACAAAGCAACCGTGAATGAAAAGGAAGATTAAAAGGAAATGAGACAAAAAATCAACAACGCGCGCCTCTTCCCCGTTATTTTCTCTTTGATTACTCTGTTTTCCTTTAGCTTTTGTATTCTTTCCCGTTTATCCGTTCTATATGCAGGTCTACCCGCACTATTTCTTCTTTGCTTACGCCTACGTTTTTGTATCTGTGCTAGCATCTTTTTTATGGTGTATGACCGCTTTACTTGCGAGATACCATCGACGCGGCAAAAATTTTCAAAGCGCCACTGAAGAACATGTTCGTAAAGACGTTTTATTTCTTCGGACACTGGATGAAAACACAACTGTTAGGTTATCGAGTGGCCTGTGATCACAAATGAGATAAAGGGGAATGTTTTTGAAGTCCCCATAAGTTTTAACGAAGATGGACATCCTGCATAGCCTGCAGAATAAAAAGATAAGCGATTTGTTCTAGCGGATGCGTATCGTATGAAATCAGGTATGTGCATGCAAGTTCAAAAAGTATTATATTCTTGAGCATACAGCGTCAGTGCCATCGACTTACTCTCTTCTTTTGCGACTACAGCTTTGCCTACTTCGTCATGGGAGTCGTGACTGTCCCCGTTCATGCCAAACAGAAGTTCAACTTCCTGATCAGAAAAGCTAGGTGACGTGAATCCGCTTCCTGAAACACCTGGATAGGAATAATTAGAAAATTGCCCCTCACCCCTCAAGTTGATCATAACGTATCGTGCTTGCCATTTTCGTTGTTTGAGGGAGATTAGCGAGTTCAACGAACTAAGGACCGCAACAATAACTCTTTTGTCTCCAAGAGAAGACTCAAGAAACCTGATATCTGTCTTCTGTTTATAAAATCAAATTGGTGGTCACCAACAGGCTTGGTGGAGTAAAGTCCTCTTTCTTCAGTACGGGCTTTCACAAACTACAAGACTTGTAAAAAGGGATTACGTATCTTCTCTATGACATCTGAATGAAATATTCGTAAAAGTGGCATGAACAACTGAGACTCTGTTATTTCGCCGCAAGATACCACCATTTTTAACCATTTTCCAAGATTCTGTAGGAGGCCAACTTCCGTTTTGAGAGTCACTTAAGTATTGTTGTTGGAAGGTGTACTAAATCCGTCACCATACGGTGTGGACCCACTACCACTTACAATATCCTTGTTTTGACTCCTCGATATAACCTGAATTGTATATACGTATTATTATTATTATTAGTCCCTTGGGTTCCTAGTGGAACATAGGGCTTCACTAGCACGTCTCCAGTACACTCTGTTCTCTGAGATCTTTTGAACCTGGTCCCACGACAGCCCACAAGCTCTCATTTCCTCCTCGCATGACCTCCTCCATGTCACCCTCGGACGTCCAACTCGTCGCTTCCCATGGGGATTCCACTCGAGTACCTGGCCTGACGCGTCATGTCCTCAGTCGACCTTCTCAGTGCATGTCCAATCCATCTCCACTTCCTTACAGTGCATATTTGTTGGGTGATAGGTTCTTGCTTCGTTGCTTCGTTCCCAGAGCTCCTTGTTGCTTATTCTTTCTGGCAATCCATCTGATCTTCAGTAGCGAGCGTAAGCAGTTGTTGATGAATGTCTGTAGTTTATTGGAAATCCCTTTCGTGACGCGCCAAGTCTCTGAGCCATACAGAAGCACTGACTTGACGTTGGTGTTGAAAATCTGTATCTTGCTCCGCATGCTGAGTGCAGAAGATCTCCACACTGGTTTCAGGCTAATGAACGAAGGCCTGTCTTGCTTTTCCGATTCTGACTTTGACGTCCTCGTCCGTCCCGCCTGTAGTTGAAATAGTGCTAGGAAGCACTGTTTCAACTACAGGCATTACCTTCGGTTTCCCGGGAAGTGGCAAAGGGCAGCGAGATAGCACGTGTGCTTCGGCATCAAAAACTTACGAAATCCGTGGGTTCAAGCAGTGTGGTGGTCCCGGGTATTTTTGGGCCTTATTTCTTTTTGCCCGTTTAACCAATCTGATACATACACGTTGGTTAAAGTCCTTTCTCTCGAAACTTTCGGATAAAACGACTGGTTGAGAGACTATTCAGGGGTTTATGGCGTCATATGAAGATCGTGACAATCCTGTTCCACACTGACGCCCCAGTCTTGAGGTAGAGATAGACAGCATAATGATGTCTTGTGACTGACTGCGACGTCCTGTCAGATAGTGTAAGACTATGGCCCACTGGATCTGCTTTGTGACCTAGTTTGAAGTAACTGAAGTGAACCCTTAAAAGCTGATGCTGACGTGAAAGATTTGCTGATAAGCTGGAGAAGACCGTCTGTTGAACCTGGTCTTCCCACTTCAAAAAACACACTGAAAAATATTTGCAAAAGCATCCTCTGTAGCTTTAGGTGTGGAATTCCAATACTGTTCGGCATTGAGCTGGAAAAAACCCTCGAAGGTTGCGCCAACCAGTTGTGTGCATTTGGTTGACGCGGTGGCATTTTCAACCCTAGGCCGGTCACACAGGTTCGAATTATTCTCACTTGAGCTTTGGTTTACTACTGAACAACTTACATGCTGACTGGCATCGGTCGAATACGTTCTATCTATGAACTGTGCATGAACGACATGGACACTTTGCTAAAGCTCTTCTGTCATGTGTCATCTCCTCAAACTACCCCACTTCAGGCTGTATGAAGTTTGTCCATTTATTCTCTGAAGCATTCGCTGACTTATCTGGGCAGATAGTGATGTCGTACTTTTTTGGTTTCATCTGTAAATAACCTGCGGCTTTGTAAACAACAGCCCAAGACCTTGTGTCCATTTTTAGACGAAGAGGTCTACAAGTGGCTGACCTAATTTGTATGGTGCTCTGTTATGTGATAAATTGCCATTCTCAACACTATGAATTGATGACCTGATGACGTGCCCCAGACCGAGTGATGCCCCCCAAGCGACGTGTGAATTTGGATGTTTTCGGGGTTTTCTAGTTGCTTGCTGGCTAGCAGATGTGATGTCTGGAGCCCAACTGGGCTTCTTCTGCATGGTAGACCGCTGCCATGCCCAGTGACCATCAAATGTGATGTGTGAAGGAATTTTGAACCTGCCTGAATATCTATGCAATCGCTGAGTTTTTCGCCTCGGCTTGCGGTGTATCTCCCCGAGAACCTTCCTTGAACATTTAGTAGAAAGGATAGTAATACAAGTGCCTGACCGCACCAAACATGCTTCATTATCTTGCAAACTCACAGCGAGCACTTCGTGATTTTCGTTACCCTGATCTGATCGAACATCGGCATCACCTATTACTTTCCATTAGGTAGTGAAGGGATTACCATAACCTTTACCCATCAGTGTAGCAGGATCCATACTCTCAGCCCCGTTTAATTCAATATTATTTGCACTGTGCTGATCGACGGAGTATTTTTACTGAGTGTCTCTTCTAAAATATGGGGACTTACGGATGTCGATTCTAGAAGGGTATCATCCAGCAACTGATTGAATTTCTAGGTGGTTCTCAGCATTGCTTCTTCAGTTCTATCTTCATAGCATTGCGAAAATGTCAGAAGTTCTTCATTTGATAGTGTTGTCATTTTTCACTTGTCGCCGCTTATTATGACCCTGTTACCACCCGTTTAGTCTGTATTGTAGCTACCTAACATAACCTGGATCGTGGCCTGCGTTATCTTCCACCGTATTTTTTAAATACATTAGCACTACATGCTCTTTCACTGTGTTATTAGTATTTAACCAGATATAACCAGCACCATTTTGAAGCGAGCGTTACATCTTTTGTGCTTTCCTAGTGCTTTAGAATTTTGGCAATCTGGCTACGATACAGTTACATTTTTCACCTGCAAATTAAAGCTTCAAAACATATACGTTATCCGCTAACTGTTGCTGTCATTTTCTCCGCAACTATTGGTTGCTTATCTCTGCTTTTCATCAATACG